AAAACACACACACACACACACACAAAACAAACAAACAAAAAAACAAAACAGAAACCACTGGTTATGGTGGAATAAAAAGTTGATAAAACTCTTAAAGACATAGGCATAGATAAGGACTTCCTGAATAGAACAAGATATAATACCGACAGTCAACAAATGGGATTATATCAAGTTAAAAAGCTTCTGCACAGCAAAGGAAAAAGCCTACAGAGTGAAGAGACAGCCTACAGAATGGGAAAATAATTTTTTTTGCCAGCTATTTCTCATGCGGAGAGGACTAATATCTAGAACATAGAAAAAAAAGACCTTCCCAAATAAAAGACCCAATTAAAAATGGGCAATTGAAATTAATTGACACTTCGTGAAAGAAAGTACAGGTAGCCAATAAGTACATGAACAGATGTTCAGCATCTTTGGTCATTAGAAAAGTGCAAATTGAAATACCGGCATTCTATCTTATTCCAGTAAGAACGGCTGTCATCAAGGTCTCAAAAAACAATGAATGCTGGCAAGGTTGTGGGGAAGGAGGAATGTTTCTATGTTGTTGGTGGGAATATAAACTACATCCACTATGGAAATCAGTAAGGAAATTTTTCTGAAAGCTAAGGAATTCCATTTGACCCAATTCTTCTGGGTATCTTTCTGAAAGAGTTAAAGTCATCATATTCCAGTGATACATACATATCCTTGTTTATAGCATCCCCATTCAGAATAGCTAAATTATGGAAGTGGCTTATACATCCATCAACAGATGAATGGATGAAAAAAAATCTAGTGTATGTACACAGTGGAGTAGTACGCAGCCATAAAGGAGGATAAATGTGAGTCATTTGTAGGAAATAGGTGCATTTTGAGACCATAATACTAAGTAAAATATATCCAACCCAGGTTAAATATTACAGGGTTTCTTTGAGAATTCAAAATATAAATAAAGAACAAAATAAAACAGACATAGTAGGAAACAAAGAGGTAGACTCTGTAGAGATGGGAAGGGGATATAAGGAAAGGGAGAGGGGAAGAGAAGGAAAGAAGGGAGTAAATGATCAATATGCAATATGTATATGTACCAGTTCCATGAGATGAGTGTAATGACTGTGTATCACATAATTAATTCAAAATAAGAGACACAGATATATGTGTGAAGATCCAGAGGTAGAAATGAAGTGCTGCAGCTGCAAGTCAAACAGAACACCAATAATTTCCAGCTTATTACCTAGAAGCTATAAAGAGCTAAGTGTTCTCCTCTATAGATTTCAGAGAGAGCATAACCCTACCAGCTCCTTGATTTTGGATTTCTGGCTTCAGAAGTGTGAGCTGATAAATACCTGTTATTTTAAACCAGTCCATTTTGGGTACTTTGTTATTACAGCCGCAGGAAACTAAAATGGGATTCTTAGAAACGAAATGAGTGAATAAGAGAACAGAGAGGAACAGTGACAAGATAGGGGTTTCTGTTAGAATGTGTTGTCTGTTTTCTTTTTCTGGCTTTTCATTTGTTCTTCTTGAGTATTATATATTATATGCTATGGTTTATTAAGCATTCATATACTGCTAATACAGTAATTAGTAGGGCCAGGTTTTCTTGCTTCGAATACAGTGTTTTTTTTCTGCCACAGTTCTTTCTGTTTTCCCAATACTCAATAAGATGTTATACTTTGAACTTCAGGAGTTACAGTGGGAGCAGGTGGGACTTGGTGGTAGATGACAAATAAGGAATTTTTATTAGAGACATCTGGAAGGAAAGTCAAATTTATTTTGCTGCTTATCCGATTTAACAGTCAGTGATTACCCACTTTAACAGTAAGCGATTTTTTCACTGGGAACTATTTTTATTGAACAAAACACTGCTTCTCTATAACTTCTATCCGTTGTCCCTATTAATACTCTTGATAATGTGTTCCCTATTCTAAGTGACCGTATTTTATATAAACTTGAACACTGTTGTCACATTCCTTCTAAATCTTCTCTGTCACATAAAATATCTATAGTTCTTCTAGCCATTTCTCAGCTGATGCAGTCTCAATCCCCAGTGTCTTCCTTCTGCCCAAACTTGAGATACAATACTAAGAATTGAATTCAGTATCCCACATGTGTTCTAACCAGCACAGATTGTAATGGCAATCATACTTAGAGATCAAGGCATCCTATTCTTAATGTAATTTAAGATTAAACATTTCAAGCAATTACCTCATTTTGTTGGCTCATAATGAATTTACAGTTCACTAAACAATAGATTTTGTTATTATACTATGATGCTCAATTTACTTCTTGAAGCTGCGCATGGTTTTAGGTTGATACTACTTTTTCATCTCCCTGGGGTACTGTATGATTTCTCGTCTTTCTTTCTCTGTGTTTTTGATCTGTTCCATTTTATGTCTCTGACCCTAAGCAATGAGCACCTTCCTTATTAGACAATTTCAGTGAGTGTTTCACAGTCTTCATTCTCTGCATGAACGAACACAGATAATACCTAGTGAACATAGCTGTCACTTTACCTTCTTGAATTTTTCTTTGCCTTTCACTTCTGAGTCACCACACTCTTCTGGCTTTTTATCTTTCCCTGTTGGTCCTCCTCAATCTTTGTGGGTCTCTATTCTTTTACCTCTTCTTCTAGTTTTTTTGCGGCATATGCATTATATCTTCAGAGATATCATGTTTAAAATGGCAGGTCCAGATGAGCTCATCTGGGCATCAAAGGTCGTAGAATCAATCCAATAGGAAAGTCAACATTTAGAGGTAAAGTCAAGAAGAAAGAGTCAGTGAGAAGAAAAAAAAAAGCACCTAAAAAGAGAAGCATTTCAATGAGGGTTGGTCAGTGGTGTTGACTGTTTTGAAAGATCAAGTAGGGTATGGATAGAGAAGTGATCACTGTATTTTACAACATAGAGGCTGTTCGTGATCTTAGGAAGCTGGTTTTGTGGAGTGTTAAGGGCAAAAGCCAGAATATAGTAAGTTGAAGAGATAAAAGGCAGTAGAGAAGCAGAAATAGTGTGTAGACAGTATTTCTCAGAAATAGAGTTATATTAGGAGCATGTTACATGATCAATAAAGTATGATACATTGATTTGAAAACTATAACTTGCTAAATGTGTATAAGGGGAATTCCATAAAGAAGATGGCTAAGGACACACTCCTGGGGAATAACTTAATTTAGACTGTAGGAATGAAGAAGAGGCCCAAGAAATGTGCAGCTGAGACAGATGAGTACCTTCTGATCTGTGTACTGTACTTCAGTGTTGGGATTCTAATCAGGAACCAGTAGATTCCCTGACCCCAGACTCTTTATAGTCTGCTGCCATGTTTCATTAAGTATGGTTGTATGAATCACTTACATTCAGACTTTTTTTAAATGCAGCTTCCAGGGTCCCACATATAGAATCAGAGTATTAGAAGATAATGCCAAGATTTGAATTTTTAGCAAGTGTCTGTCACTGTGCCACCCAGTACAATTCATGTTCTCACTGCAGTTTTAGAACGACTAGCCTATTGAGTGAAAAGTTAACATGTTAACAAAAAAGATTAGTAAGGTGCTTGTTCATCTCTATTAAATAAAAGAAAACTAGTCTGTTACATGGGGAAATACAGCACTTAGTCATAGCCCTATGTAAGGAAAAGAATCTTAAACTCATGCCATATTATTTTGTAATATTTTATATATGAAGAATCTTTTAATTTATAAAATCATTCCTGTCTGTGGAATGTTTGAGTTACTTTCACTTCACTTATATTATAGACAGTGTCTTTATAATACAGGTCATATAATATACGGGTGTAAGATTATAGGTTATAGAATCATATTGGCTGGGTATAAATTGCAGTTCTATCACTTGCTAGCTTTGTAATTTTGGGAAAATGATTTGAGTCATCTGTGCTTCAATTTCCTCGTCTATATTAGGAATATAATAATAGTGAATGATCTCATTGAATTGTGAGGATTGAATGAATTTATAAATTACTTAAAAACCGATTCATCACATAGCAAGCACATAACAAAAATGGGTTATTATTATTGTTAAAAGTTATCTTTGTGAATCTTGAGTCTAACTTCTGTTAAACAATTTCCCTAGAATAAATTTTTAGGATGGGATTATTTCTTTAACATATGAAGGCAATTTTATGTCCCTTTATTATCTATGGTCATTGCTCTTCAAAAGGATGCTATCAGTTTGTAGTATATAATTTGTAAGTGCAACCTGTCTATCACTAGTATGTGACTATCAATGTGCCTTAGGTTGTAAGCTGATAGAAAACTGACTTGTTTGTTTGTTTTTGGTGCTGCAGATCAAATCCAGGGCTCACACATGCTGTGCACATTCTATTATTGAGCTGTTCTCAGCACCCATTAAGTCTTTTGTTAATTTTAAATTTTCATGTTACAGTACTTTGCTCAGTAGTCTCCAAGTGGATGTTGATAAATGGTGAATTACTTGTGCAAGGTCATGTCAAAGAAAATTTTTAAATTTGTGTTTTTTTTTTCCTTTTAATAGATTGAAGCCATGGCCATTCTTTTTGCCGTTGTTGCCAGGGGAACCACTATCCTTGCCAAACATGCTTGGTGTGGAGGAAACTTCCTGGAGGTGACAGAGCAGATTCTGGCTAAGATACCTTCTGAAAATAACAAACTAACGTACTCACATGGCAAGTGAGTTCTGCTCTGCATATGATAGAAGGTTAAAGAAAGGAATTATTTTATAATCAGAACAATAAAACACTAGAGAGCAAGCATTTACTTAGATTAATTTGAATAAGCTGACAGAAGAGTAACCTTTACCAGCTTAGAAAATGTTTGGTTTTATGATGTATAAATTTAACTTGTGATTATTTTATTCTATCATTGAAGTGACATTATTTAAAAGATTGGTATGGAAATGTTAGTCATTATATGTAAAAATGACTTTGCTTTGGAGTTCTTAGGCAAAATGATGTAGAGAATATAAATAATATTCCCTTGTTCATTATTTTAGTAAGTAACTGTATTAGTTTAGACATTTTTCTTTACAATGGCGTTATTACAAAAATGCAGTATTTGCCCTCATAGAGATTATATTTGTTAATTAAAGAGACAGCCAAATCCATAGATAATTATAGTAGAGGATGGGAGGTAGTGAGTAAGGGGATAGTACCCCAGGTAGAAAGAATAGCAGATAGAGATGTATGGAGGCTGAGATGATTTAGGGAACTGTAAGTTGTTCTCTGTGACTGGTGCTCAGGATAGGTAAAGATAAAGTTAGAGAGATGGATAGAAGAAAAGTCATGTACAGCTCTGGAGGGCATATTAAGAGTTTAGAAGTACTGAGGTTTTCATCCAGTATATGATAGCTTTTGCTTTAGAAAGATCACCCTCGTAGTTTATGGAGAGGGCATAGATGGGAAATCAGTGCTTCAGCCTTCCTTGTTGATCCTTAAAAATGTTTTGTTGCTTAACTTATATTTATTTCCTTAGTTCTTATCTCAGAAGGACCTTCTTATTACTTTCTAGGACTAACCCTTTTCACAATTTGGAGCCCATTCAAAGTTACTATGAGAGAGATCCCAACATATGGAATTAATTTAAATGAAATAGTCCAGAGACGAATGTTTTAGAGCTGATGGAATGCCTCTGCCATTCTCAATAAGTACCTTTTAGCTTTGGCCAAGGCAGCTTCTTCTAGTTCACGTTACATCCCAGTGCTTTCCCAGTGTTCTTAAAGGTAGTGCGTAGAAGTGGCTGGGCATTTTATTATTCAGAAACTTCTGCTTATGTTTCATTATTCACTATGTAATTATGTAGCTAACTCAGGTAGAAAGGAGGCCAGGAAATATCACTCTGTTGTCATATATTTATCTAACGCTCTTATTATTCTGGAGGAATTTATAAGATATTGAGGGATGACTTGAAGTATTCCATTCTACTCTTTCAGATATCTAACTATCTGGGTGAACTCTTCTTTACAAACATAGAACATGCCTTTTCTCTGAGGGTGGTAGCTCCAAAGATTTATCTGGTTGTTGTGTTTTGTTCTATATCCAGAATTTCTGGGTGATACACATTCCTCTCCATCAGGTCCAAGAATGATTCCTGTGGCCCACTGGCCATAAACTAAAAGATAAGTTGAACGGTTCCCCTACTGACCTGTCTCAACCTTATAAACAGTGGTGAAATAAGAACAGGATCACTAGACTGAGAATAACAAACACATTTGGAAAAGAGGAGAATAAGAAACATGTAGAAATCATTGCTTCTTAGCATAGTAGCTGGCCCAAAGTAGATACTGAAATAAATGTTACGGAGAACTTGGTAGGAAGATGTTTGCTTTGTAGTCTTGGGCAAAAGAAAACTGTGTGGCTGACTGGGGGAACATTTTAATTGCATGTCCCTCCTAAGATATCTTTTGTTCAGGCTTTGCAAGTACAATTATAATATTTCAGCTATGGGTAATACAAATGCTGTTGTGCTGGATACTAGGGTAGGGAACTTCTTTCACTTTGGTATTCACTCCTGTCAGTTTAACCTGAGAGAAATGGGTGTGGGGGGGTAGATTTTATCTGTAAACAATACAGTAATGTTAGTAGTACTGAACTTGCTTATCATAGAAGATAGACGTGAATGATTTTGCCTATAACTATAGTAAGTTTTATATCTTTTATTCTACAGTTATTTGTTTCATTACATCTGCCAAGACAGAATTGTGTATCTTTGTATCACTGATGATGTAAGTAACTTAAAGACATATATTTCCATTGAACTATGTATACTGTTAATACCGTCAGTTCTCATTTATCCATACCCATGGTGGATAAAGATGATAGAAATGTTCAGTAGCTGGAAATTGTGTTCTACCCTTTCCATTTATCATACAGAGTAGCAGTGGACAAAACTTGATACTTTGATATGTACAAATCAGTTCAATTTTTATAGAGTTTTAACTTAATCTCTTGTAACTTCAACATTTATCCTATGGTATAGTGAGAATTGATGTTCATAATTATGATTCCTTAGTATAAAAGCTTCTCAGTAATTGTTTGACTGAATATTAAATTAAATAGATTATTTCATTCCTCTAATTGAATTTTAATATATATGAACTTTGGAAAAACAGAATCTCAATACATTGTGATCAGCTACATAGACTTGTAGTTTACACTGGTTAACTTGGGTTTTTTTTTGTTTGTTTGTTTGAATTTTTGTTTGGCTCTAGATCCAAAATGCTCAGTAACTTGATGTCATCAAGACTCTTGCTCTTTGCTTTTCTAAGCATCATTTTCTTCCCAGCAAATACTCCTTATGGCTTCATGGAGCTGCATGCCTATTTATTTACGTGCAGAGAAGAGGGACTATGTTTTTGAGTATTTTTTTTTGTAGGTGAGGAAACATTTTCCAGATGTATGCTCTCCCTGCCTCTCACTTTCAAAGTGAGCTTCTTTTTATGTCTTATTGGCTGCATGCTTTTTTCTAAACTGTTCACTTACAGGCATCGTGTTGTGGCACGATTGCTATAGATCAGAATTCCTAATTTGTATTGTAATAGAACTCTTTGTCAACTGTGGGTCCTGGTCATAATGTTGTTTTAATATATAAAGTAGAACATACATGCTTTGAAACAAAACCAATTATATTTTTCCCATTGAGTTTATTGGTACATTTAAAGCAAACAATAGTTACATTTATTATTGGGATCTTGTGCCTTTACATGATACGTCTTGGTTCTTATTTTTTTCCCCACACCCCTGCCCTCCCTTCACCTCCTTCACCCTTCCCTATTTACAAAGACTTTCGAAACCAATTATATTGAAATACATATTTTTTTTGTTTTTTTTTTTTTTTGAGACAGGGTCTCACTATGTGGTTGAGACTGACTTGGAACTCACTATGTAGCCTAGGCTGGTCTTGAACTCACAGTGATCCTCCTGCTTCAGCCTCCCGAGTGCTGGGATTACAGGTGTGCACCACCACGCCTGGCTGAAGTACATATATATTTACAATATCCAATACAGTTTTAAAAACTGTATAGTAATATTTATATTTCTTTATGAACTCATTAACAAGACTTATTCGTGGATCTAGTAGCTAATGATAATCTTGAAATGGTGACGAGAGTATAAATGTTATTTCAAAATAGCTATAACTGCAATGGTATATGAAAAAACATTTCTGTAGGTGACAAAGTGACAGGTACTGTTTCATTCTACTCTGGTTTGTTACTAACATTCACAATTGAAATTTTAACTTATGACTTCCTTGGCTTATACTAAGCATCTTGGGTGAAATGAAATTGACTGTTAAAGGTTGAAAATAACAATGAGGATGTTTTTGTTCTCTCCAGAGATACTTTTTCTATCCTCTTGAAATTTGGCTATTGATTCCAATTTGTGAATTCCTTGACTTAGACTAAGCATGGGTGAAATGGAAATGACAGTCAACCATAGCAGTCATCAAAATGTTAGTTCTGTTTTCATAGTATTTCCTAAAATTAGGGGGAAAAAATCTAAGTACAACGGACCCCTGAAGTTTGTGTAGGTTACATTCTTAGAGCACCTGCAAATTGTGAAAAACCATGAATTTCAGATATGGTCAGAAAAATGCCTATAAATGCCTATTTCTATAGTTTAAACTTTAAATATGCTATATCTCCTGCAGTTGTGTAATTTAATAAAATACTGTATTAATAAAGTTGTAGAAGGTACAGGGCATTTTGGTGGCATCTTATGGATTATAGGGCTTTAAGAAGAACAAAACTTAAAACACTCAAGATAACTACACCTGTTATGATGCAAGAATGCTGATATATCTGTTGGAGATGGGTTACAGGACAATAGCCAATCAGCAGCAAGGAGAACTGAATAATGCTCTCGGATTGGTTACTTGCAAACCTCCTGCCCCCAAAAACAATTTCAGAGGATATTTGTGGTTTCTGCAAAATTGCAGGGGTTTCTATGAACAATTATTAGTTAGATTCTAAGGAAAAATCTGCACATTACTGAGACTGTGAACTACAAACCGCAACTTCATGGGTGATATACTGTATATCTGAAATGACTTACATGAAGAAGCTTGGAAACATTTAAAATACCACAAAATCTGCAGTGGTCAAAGTTGAGCTTCATATTTTCTTGAGCTATAATTTGATATACACACATGCATGTGTGTATACACACACACACACACACACACTTTTTGACTGAGGCTGACAACAGTATGTCACTTGACTTTTTCAAATGTACCACCACTATTAGAAAAAATCAATTCAAAGTTCCTGTTAATAGTATTATCTTTGTATGTGAAAGGCTATTATTATGATGTATTTATCGAATATTTTATGCTGGACCTTCTTGTGGAGCATATGAGAGATATGTAGGAAGTAAAATCCAATTCCTGACTTTAAGAAGTTGATAACCTAGATTCTATTATCTTCAGTTGGCAACAACCAGGCATATTTGGATTTCACTCTTAACTCTTTCATTTACTGTTGTTTGAACTTTGTCAGGTTAGCTACCTTTTCAGAGCCTTTTCTTCTTTGTGTGTTAAATGAGATCACTACTAGTTCCTCCTCGGAGTCATTGACCATTAAACTTTTTTTTAATTGTTGTTATTGTTAATCATCCACATCATCTTTGTTTACATTGTAAATGTGAGCTCTGTGCTGGTGACTTTCTAGGATTTTGAACGCTCCCGAGCCTTCAATTTTTTGAATGAAGTAAAGAAGAGATTTCAGACTACTTACGGTTCAAGAGCACAGACAGCACTTCCATATGCCATGAATAGCGAGTTCTCAAGTGTCTTGGCTGCACAGCTGGTAAGGTCTTCCTTAGGATACAGTGTTTTGGTTCAGATTCTCTTCTTTTACTTCAGAGTATCGTGAATATAGGGGGCCCTGACCTGTGGTACACTTTTCTGATCTTGTTACTATAGACCAACATAATAAAACCTCCCTATTAAAAATATAAAGGCCCATTTTAGGGTGGAAAGCCAATAATAGATGATAATCAGTATTAATAGTGTTCATAATATCTCAGGGTTTGAAAGAACATTAAAAATCATCTAATTCAACTATCCATCTAGTGTTTAAAACCAGCATGCTAAATGACCTTTTAATCTATACATAAACTATCTACCCTTCCATGAGGTTAAATTTCATTTTTGAACAGCTCAAGTTAATAGTTTTAAAGTCTGTTCATCTCTCGATGTCATCCTAATTGTCAGATCAATGATGTTTTACATATGTATATCCCTTTGAAATACTACCATAATCAAGATGGAAAGTATTTCCGTTGCCCTAAAATTTCCTTCACATCCCTTCTCAGTCTGTTCCTCCCCTACAATTTTATTCTAAATAAGATTATATTTTTTACTATAATAATTATATTTCCTATGGAAACATTTTTCTGTAGCTAGTTTTTCCCTTAGATTTGATGTCATTTTTCCAGTAAAGTGACATGAACTCTTATGTAATAGAGGCATAATTTTGTAGCATTCTTTAATATAAATTGTCATTCTTATTTTTGTTTTTCCATGATAAACAATATCTGGGTACCATAAGTTAAAACTTACTTTCTTATAGAAGCATCATTCTGAGAATAAGGGCCTAGACAAAGTGATGGAGACTCAAGCCCAAGTGGATGAACTGAAAGGAATCATGGTCAGAAATATAGGTATGTTTCAAAGGCATAGTTTTATCATGTGGACAAGAATAGTAAGAGATTACTTGATTAATCAGGGTCAAATTTTTGAGAGGGTGAAATAATACTTTCTTATGGAAGCTAATTGCCATCCGAGATATGGTAATGTCTGCTTGTATGAATGGTTTTTTCCTAGTACTTGTAACTATTCTTCACTTTAAATTAGTTTGTTTAGCAAGACTAATTTCCAAAAGCCTTATGGTAATTAAACAACTTAGAATACTTCTGTTTGGAGATATCCAGATAGCTGATATTAACAGTAGATGCTTCAAATGTAATTATTTGACATCTGAAGAAAGTTTGGCTCTTGATTGAGGAATTCTACTTTTGTGTTCTTCAAAAGAATAAACAATGTTATAATTTCCATCTACTGGTTATGTTCATTATGTCAACAACCTTTTGTAAAAGAACTGTCTCCCTATTGTCTATCTTTTATTTTGCTGTTATTTATATTTTGGGTTTCTCATATAAGAAACCAGGTGATATTTAAGCTTGCATGTCAGATTTATTTCACTTAACATTATAGTTGCAAGGTATGTAAAAAAAAAACCACTTTTAAATACATTATTTAAAGGTAATATTTTTACAAAAATGATGAAAGTGGTTATACAGTTGTTTAATAAGATATTTGAGACATTGTTAAATGTCATAAATGTTGATTTTTTTATGATCTTGGATTTAGTATATGGATTACTTTTACACTTATTCTTAGAAGAGTTATAAATCATGAAGACATTTAAAAATACACCTGGTTTCATTGTCCTGAGGATTTGCTTCCATTTTTAAAAAACTATCCCCACAAATACACAGTACTTACAGTTTATGTTCACTTTTATAAAGGCAATATAATACAGTAGCTAAAATTTAGAGTCATATATGCCATGAATTTGAGTCTCAGTTTTACTTCCCACCTGCTGTTAACCTTTTAGCAATCATCTAGGCTTTGGTTTCTAATCTGCCCAAAGGAAATATTAGTAGAAGCCTAGATTACCAGGATAAAGAGGTAATGTATGGGAAGAACTTTGTACAGTGACTCACATATAGTAAGAGGTGAATAATTATTAGCTATTTTTACTTCACTTTGTGCTCCTATAGTATTTAATTTAGTTAATATATCATAGGTTTACCTAACCATGTCCTTATTTTGGACACTTAGGTTCCTTAGAGCTGCGTTGCTCAGAGTGCTATTTTGCTACCAGATAAGGATCTTATGAAAAATGTCATTCCATGCTGTACTTCCTTCAATGAGACCCTCTTGCTATGAAAATAATGTCAAAGGGACTGAATAGTGTGCTTAGAGACTTAGTTAGGCTGGGTACACTCTTAAGTAATACTGACTTAGGTTACAGTAAAAGTACTATTATGTTTTTGTGTCTACTGTGTTTTTCTTATTTTCTTTATATTAATTCCCAGGAATTGCATTAATAATCAAAGTGCATAAATATTTTTTGTGGTTCTGATATATATGTCTTTTGGCTATTTAAAGTGATTTCTATTGATTGTTTTTTAGTTTTCAATACCCATCTAGATTATAGTGTCCAATCTTTTGGCTTGCCCATGCTTCGCTGAGTACAGAGGAATTGTACTTGAGCTAAGTATAAAATGCATAATACACTTAATATATGTGTGTGTATGTGTGTGTGTGGTAACAAAACTTCTTTAATTTTTATCTTGTAACTTATTAAATTATTTTATAAAGTAACACAACAAGCCTAGATATAATAATTAAATAAGAAAACTGACATATTTTTGCAGGCACACACATGTGTAACTAGGTTGAAATACTATTATTGATAATCATTGCATTCTACTATTCACAGTTGATTTTAGCCAAAAGGCTGAGAAGCAGTATGCATTCTAGTATTGAAGTACATGTAATGTCTGATACATACGGGTTTTAGTTCAACTATATGTGGCAGGCACAAGAGGCAGAGTTAGCACTCCAATGGGCCCTCCTCTACACAGGGCTTCCTTGTTAACTACACAGTTTATGCTTGATCACCACAAAATAGAGTCATGAAAAATATCACTGAAAACCATATAATAATGTTAAATTTTTATTATCTTGTAGGGCTGCGTTGCTAGCTGTCCAAGGCAGCATGCTGCCCAGAGGGCCATGGGCCAGATATACCTCATCCAAATGGAAATTAGAGAACTAGTGATCACCAAATGTATTATCTCTGCCTGAAAGTGGAGGCACCAACTACAATATTATACTATTTATTTCAGATGCATAAAGTCCCAGCAAATTAACCTTTTTAATCAACATTTAATTTTTAAAAATTTTTTTAAAAATTTATTTTAATGTAATACAAGTAGATATTAATAAAGAAAATATAAAAGCCATTCTATGAAAAATAAGTTTTCATAACAGAAATAGAGAATAACAATGGTAAATACACTGTGCATCATGATCTTAAAAGAATATATTTTCATTTGCTAATCTATCAACTTATTTCCTAATAATACTGCGCCTTTTTTGCATAAAACATTTAAATTATTAACAGTATGTCACATCAATATAATTTGGAACAATTTCTTCCTATTTCACAATATCTATTATACTTTTTGGTCCTTTACACATTCAGTTTCTCACAACGGAGAGGACTGGGGATTTAGCTCAGTGGTTCTGCCTCCTGCCTCACAAGTGCAAGGTCCCAAGTTCAATCCCCAGTACCATAAAAAAAATAGTGTATAATCTCACAACAGAGAGACAATGTGATATTTACACATTTGTGTTAGATTTATTTCACTTGAGTATGGTTTCAAGGTACATCCATTTACTTAGAAATTTTTCAATTTATCCTATTTTATGGCTGAATTGTACTTCATCATATAAAAAACCCCACATCTTTTTTATCCATTCATCAGTTGATGGGCATTTGGGTTGTTCCCAAGATTTAGCTGTTAACAAACTGTGCTGCTCTAAACGTGGATGCATGTACATTGCTGTGTTGTGATGCTTTTAATTCTTTTGGAAAGATGCCCAGGAGAGGAATAGCTGGGTCAAATGGAACCTCTAATCCTAGTTTTTTGAGGAATCTCCACTCTAATTTCCACAATGGTTATACTGGTTTATACATCCACCAACAGTGGAGAAGGGTTCCATTTTCCCACAACCCCACCAGCATTTGTTTCTGAAGTAACGTGGAATCTCAGTGTTGTTTTAATTTGCATCTCTTGAACAACCAGAGATGTTGAACTTTTTTTATACATTTATTTGCTGTTTCTACTTCTTTTTTTTTTATTCATCATCAAGTTTATTGGTACTTTTTAGGTATACAGTACAGTTACATTCATCATTGGGATCTTGTACCTTTACATGACAGGTCTTGGTTCTCATTTATTCCCCTTGTCCCTGCCCTCCTTTCAACCCCTCCTCCTTTAACCCCCTCCTCCCATCTCCATTTACAAACACTTTATTTCCATTTTTTCCATTTACTGATATCATTTTCAGTCTCCTTTTTCAGAGCACTGTAAATTTTAATGTAAAGATGTTTTACTTCCTTTGTGAGATTGATTTATAAGTATTTCATTTTCTTGGATGCTATTGTGAAAAGTATTGTTTCACTAATTTCTGAGTGAGTTTGTTATGTGTGTACAGGAATGCTGTTGATTTTTGAGTGTTCTCTTTGTTTTGAGCTATGCTACTGAATTTGGTTATTAAATCTAAAAGTCTTTTGGTGGAGTTTTTGGGGTCTTCTCTGTAAAGAATCATGTGATCTGCAAATAATGATAATTTAACTTATTCCTTTCCTATCTTTATTCCTTTTATTTCTTTCTCTTGTCTAGTTGCTCTGGCTAATGTTTCCACTACTATACTGAATAGGAGTGGTGATATTGGACATCCTTGTCTTATTCCTGATTTTAGAGTGAAATCTTTCAGTTTTTGACCATTTACTATGATGTTGGCTGTTGGTTTGTCATAGATAGATGGCTTTTGTCAGCTTGAGATAAAGACCGTCTATTGCAGTTTTCTGTAGGGCTTTTTATCATGAATGTGTGTTGGAGTTTGTCAAATGCTCTTCTGCATCTTTTGAGATGAACATGTGATTTCTGTCTTTGGCTCTGTTGATATGGTGTATTACATTTAATTAAGTTGCATATGTTGAACCATCTCTACATTCCTAGGATGAATTCTACTTGGTCATTGTGCATATTCTTTCTGATGATTTACTGCATTCTGTTTACCATTATCTTGTTGAGGATTTTTGTGTCTATGTTCAGTAGGGACATGGGCCTGTAGTTCTTTTTTTTTTGGTTGGATCTTTCTCTGGCTTTGGTATAAGGGTAATACTTGCTTTCAGGAATGATTTTGGGAGTATTGCTTCCCATTCAATTTCATTGAAGAGTTTGAAGAATAGTGGCATTAGATTTTCTCTAAATTTTTTATAGAATTCAGCAGTGAAACCATCAGTAGCTGAACTTTTCTTTGTTGGTAAGCTTTTTAAATACATTTTCAATTTCATTGACTGAAACTGTGTTATTTATAATTTTTAGACATCTTGATGCAGCTTTGGTAATTCATATATATCTAGGAATCTTTCCATTTCTTCTGTGTTTCCCATGTTATTAGAGTACAGCTTCTTGAAGGAGCTATTGATGATTTGAATTTCTGCAGGATTTGTTGTGATTTTACTCTTTTCATTCCTAATTGCTTAAATTTGAGGGTTTTTTTTTGGATAAGATTGGCTCAGGGTCTATCAGTTTTACTTAATCGTTCCAAGAACCAACTCTTCGATTCATTAATTCTTCATTTTTTTTTTTAGTCTCAGTTGCATTAATTTTTGCTCTGATCTTTATAATTTCCTTCCTCATATGAATTTTGGGCTTGACTTGTTCTTCTTTTTCTAGATGTTTTAAGTTCAACATTTGATTGTATGTCTGAGCTCATTCCGTTTTCCTAATATGAGAATTTACCGCTATAAATTTTTACTCTTAGGACCGCTTTTATTGCATCCTGTAAGTTCTGG